GTGATTTGGCCTAGAGTGTTGTTGACCAGTCCTTAGGAGGACTCTCCTCTCAGGTTGGCCAACTGTGGGTCTCAGCCCCAACCTCGTCGTGTAAGCTGTTGTACGGGTGCTGGCAAGGCAGGACAATACACAACTAAACTTCCAGGAAACAAGGGGTGTCTTACAGAATATCTTGACAGTCACAGTGAAAACAACCCACGTGAAAATAGAACTGGGAGAGTGATGGGAGAACACAAAAGCTAAAGCCAAAAAAAAGGGGGAAAAAAGAAAGAGAGAAAGAAAAATAAAGCTAGCGAGAGAAAACAATATTACTGCTAATAGTAATGAAAATTTTAAAAATAATAATAATAAACTAAAATAAAATGTAAAAAATAGAGAAGCTACTGGGAGATAAAAGGGGCAGAGAAAAGATTCTGAAAGAAGGGCCAGCAAAAAGTTAAGGGTAGAGAATAGGAATAGGATAACAGTTGAAAATGAGAAAACAAAAATACAATGAAGAGACAAACAGAAACTAACAATCAAACAAAAAGACTGGAAGACAGAAGGGAGAAAATAAAAGAAAGAGAAAAGAAGTTATGCCAATGGAACTAGAAGAGAGAGAGGTAAACCCAGGCAGGGAGGGAGGCCAATAAGAGATGTGGGGGAAACTATAGAGAAAAGCAGAAACCTTATTGGTTATAATGATAATATCCCAGCAATTAAGCAGAGAATATCAAGAAAATCTTGATAGTAGAAGCAAAGACAAAACAAAACAAAGTGAGAGAACAAACAAACAAAAAAAAACAAAACAAAATTCCTTTTTAAAAAATGTTTTTCCTTTCTCTTTGACAGTCAATCAGTTGAGTTTCTTGGGCAGCTTGTGTTGGCTGCGGCTCACTGTTTTGTGGGCTGATTTCATTCTCCTGGGAGGTGCTTGTGTATCAGCCAATGTGAGGAGCGTCCAGGTTTGGCTCTGGTGTCCTCAGGTCGATGGCTGATCTGAGGCTCTCTATGGACCTCTTCCACCTGTCAGCTACTTTGCCTCCCCCTTGTGGTTGCCTGGTCTTGCTCCAGAGTCTTCTGAAGAGTCTTAGGGTGCAGGGTGGCTAGTGTATCTCAGGGCGTCACTCCCCTTACTTTGAGGCTTCACTGTCAGGCGCTCACGGTGAGGAAGTTAGTCTCTGCTTCAAGGCCAACTCCTCTATTTCTGCCAAATCCTCCGATTCTAGCTGCCCAGGCTCTGGCCTGCTGTAGGTTCAGGTTCACCTCAGCCTGTTGCCTTTTCTGTGTGGGAGTTTCAGTGGCCTGGGCTCAGTGGGTTTGATCAAAAGAGACTCCTGTGAGCACTTTGCCTGCCCAGCCCCCAGCAGGGGTTTCAGCTTTTCCTCCAGCTCCCAAACAATCCTGAGAGTCTAATTCTTGTGATGTCCTGTGAGCGGCTCTCCCTCCCCCTCAGGACTGTGCCCTGCCGGGCGGGGTGGACAGGGGCGGATCTGGGGCCTCAGTGAGCCCACCGCCCCTTTCCTGTTGGGGGCGGTGCTCCTGGCTGGGGGAGAGGCCGGGGGGCTCCGCCCCTCCCTGCCCAGCTCTGGTTGGCTGGTCGCCCAGGGCGCGTATTTCGAACTCTCCACAATGCAGACAGAAATCCCAGCTTTCGCTGGTCTCTCTCCCCAGTGCAAGCCAGGAAGGTGGGAGCCAGTTCAGCAAACAAAAACTCAGACGCACAGAAAGCAGCACATGGGCAAGGAATCCGCCTGCAAGGCTCTGCTGCCCCCACATCAAGGCACCAAGCAAGGGGGCACACAGTCAGGCCGCGCAGGCCCCCTTTACCGCTGGTCTCAGGAAAGCTGGGCCACGGCACCCCTCAGGGCTGGTCACAGATTTCAGAATCTCCCAGAGAGTTCAGGCGGCTGCAGGAAACCTCCACAGCCAGTCCGTCCCTGGCAATGGGAGGGCCCTCTTCTTTCCCCCGCGCCACACAGATTAAATGCTCTCTGGGGCTCAGCACAGTGCCTTACAGGAGGCAGCGGGTCCCTGGATGTGGCTGCTCTGTGCCGTCTGGTCCCTTTCTCCTCGGGTCAGCACCCTGAGCACAAGGCGCCCGCCGCAGCCACATTAGAGGCTTTGTTTCACTAGGAAGACACGGTCCCCTCCTCGCAGGCACGCTTTTCCCCGGGGTCCCTCTGCCCTGTGCGCGGGGCGCTCCTTCCCCTCTCGTGGCTCCGGGTGTGGGGTCCCCGCTTTTGGTGGGGTCCACACGCCCGAGGCCTCCAGGCCTCGGGGCTCGGAGCCCAGTGCAGGCTTCAGGGGGGCTCCCCCTTCCTAAGCCTCCCCGTACCAGACTCCGTGATGTCTCCGAAGTGCTCCCCACTCGCGCTTCATCCGCTCAGGTATATTTTTCTAGTTTTTCCAAGCTGGCTATGCACTACTTTAGGAGTAAATCGGTCCGTGGCTGGGAGCAGGGACGCTCTGCTGCTTGTCCCAGGGCCGCCATCGTCCCGAAAACCAAGATTTTATATTTTGTTGTCCCGTCACCTACACACACATCTGCTGTATCTTTTTCGTCTCCATTTTATTTTATTTTTATTTTTTTTATATATCTTTATTGGTTTCAGAGAGGGGAGAGAGAGAGAAACATCCATGATGAAAGAGTCATTGATCGGCCGCCTCCTGCACGACCCCAGCCGGGGACCAAGCCCCCAACCCGGGCATATGCCCCGACCCGGAGTCGAACCCCAACCTCCTGGGTCCTGGGTCGATGCTCAACCGCTGAGCCAGTCCTCTGTCCAAATTCTCAGTCTTCTTTCTTCCTTAATATTTTATAGTTTTCATATTCTGTTTCACCTAGTATTGCCTTGTCTTTTTTTTGTGACTTTTGCAAAAAGTGTGTGGGGGATATTGTATTTGAAAACTTATCTGTAAAAATAATTAGAAGCCTAGAAACAGGTTTCTTACTGTTTTCATTTGCCTTTTGCCCCTTTACACAATCTTTTTTCCATCTTGTGTCCAGTTCCTGGTCAGGGATCTTTACCATGGAAACGTTGAAATAGCTCTTTATTTATTACTGATTTCCTGGAGGTCGTTGTGTATCTGTCCTTCACCGTGTACAGTGGACCCTTGAACGATGCCGGGGCCAAGGCTGCCAGCCCCCAAGCAGTTGAAAATCCACACTTACCTATAGTCAGCCCTCGGCATATGTGGATTCCCAGCTGCAGACAAAACAACAGCTGACCCTCGAATAACACAGGTTGGAACTTCTCAGGTCCACTTGTACGTGGCTTTTTTTCTACTAGTCTTTGGCTTGTCTTTTTATTTTCTTCATGATGAAAGTGAAATGGCAGAAGTTTTAATTTTGTTGAGGTCCAGTTTATCAAATTTTTTATGTTCAGTAATATTTTTGTTCCATTTAAGGAATCTGTCTCTTCCAAGACCAGGAGGTGTTCTGTGCTCCGGTTGTTCCAGCCAGGCCTGTGAGCCACCTCAGATTAACTTTTGTGTGTGATTCGATGTAGGGCTCAAGTGTCCCCCCCATATGCATATCTGTGGTGGTTACCAGCATGTCCCCTTCCACAGACATTCATCAAGTGGCTCTGTGTGTGTAGGTCCACTTTCTGAAGTCACTGTTTTGTTCCACTGAGCCATTCTTTTATCCTTATGATAATTCTACAACCTTCTCATCACTGTGGCTTTATAGTAAATTTAATATCTGACTGTGTGAGGCCTCCAACACTGATATTCTTCAAGAATTTCTTGATATTTCTAGGTTCTTAATATTTCCATATATATTTTACACACGGCCTGTCAATTTCTACAGAATAGCCTGCTGGGATTTTAATCGGGATTATATTGAGTTTTTTAATTAACTGAGATTTGACACAGTAACAGTATTGAGTGTTCCTATGAACTTGACATGTGTGTTCATTTCTTTTTTTACTTTCTCTCAGCAAAGGTTTGTAGTATCAGAGTTGTGACACACATTTCGTTAAGTGTATCCTAGGGAGTGGATGTTTTGGAATGCAGTTGTTTGTTCGTATATAGAAATACAGTTGAGTTCTGTGTCTTGTACCCTGCAATCTTGCTAAATTTGTCGGTTAGTTCTGGAAATTGATTTGTTCACTCTTTTGGGTTTTGTCCATACATAGTCTTGGCATCTGTAAATGAAGATGGTTTCCCTTTTGTCCCGTCTGTGCCTCTATCCTTGCCTTGCCTTGCCTGGGCTTGGACCCCATGCATGCTGACTAGGAGCAAGGGCTCTGGGCGAGAGCATTTGCCATCTCTCACTGGCATGGGTGGGTGCGGGTTTCAGGCTGCCTTCGCAGGGCCTCGGCTGTCCTTGAAGGAATGCAGAGCCCCTCACATCCCTCCCTGCATCTGTGGCGAGTATCCCTGGGCTTCTCCCTTCAGGTGTAGCTGGGTGAGGTGCACCAGTTTCCACTGGACAGCAGCATTGCGTTCCTGGGGCTAACCCCATGAGCCGGTGATGTTTTATCTTTTTTAGTTGCTGGAATTGACCTGCCAGCATTTTGTCTAGAGGTTTGGTTTGCCGGCCTCCTTCCTTGCTGCAGCCTCCTGAGGTGTCTGCATCACGAGCACACTGGTCTCACCAACTCTCTCTGTTCACTGCCTCACCCTCATGCTGCTTCTCGGGGGTGTGGAGAGCAGAGGGGCCACCCTGCCACTCTTGCAGGCTTTGGGCACATGCCCCACATGCTCCCAGCTGCTCTGGTCCTCCCGTAATGACACTGAGCAGTCAAGCAGTAGGCCTTTGGGTTGGAGCCTGTGGCCTGTGGACAGCTGGAGCGTTTAGCCCAGAGGTGGCCAGGCTGCAGCTTTGGAGAGCAAGGGAAGAGGGCGTCTGCTTCCTGGCCCCATACCGTCACTCGGTGCCAGCTGTTAGAAGGTACCCCATGGCAGGTCCTGGGACACTCTCCTGAGGACAGAGAAACTGTGGGGACCCTTGGGGCCACTGGGGGAGGCCAGTTGATTGCAGCCACATGTGTCCTCCCCTTCTTGTCTTGTAGATGAACACACCTCGAGCAACAGTGGGGACACCATGTCTGGCCCTGGCGTCTGGCCCTCTACCCACCACTGTCATTCCTGGAACTGCCCTGGCCCTACCTGTGCCCATGCCAGGTACTGCCCTCTCTGGCCTCTCAGCCCCACCCTGTGCACTGCTTCTGGGCCAGTCCCGAAGCCTGCTCCCTGCTCCTGTTTCCTGGGGTTCCTGGGCAGCCCAGGCCAGCAGCCGAAGCCCTGCCTGGGGGCGAGGCTTGAGCACAGTGGGTGGGCCGATGGGTCCCACATTCTTTCGGCCACCTGTGGTCAGCATGCCAGGCCCCAGGCTGTGGGTCCTGTAGCTCCGTCTGACCACCTGCCAGATGGATGTGCTGAATTGAATAGCTCAGAGGCGCTGGGGTGTGCTGTGGCCTCCCAGCCTGCCCTGCCCTCCTGAGGTGCCCCAGAGGGCCTGTGAGGCTGCCCTTGCCTCCTTTATCTCTGCGGGCCCCGTTTACTCTGAGGCTCCCGTGGGTTGCACCTAGTCTTTGTATCTACTTCCTGTACTTGGATTAATGTTTCGAACATTGTAATTGCCCTGCAGAATTACCGTGCCTTGAGTTTCAGCTTTTCTGTTCCCTGATGGAAAGAGATGTTTAAAAAATCATGTATTGAAAAAGGTGTATTTCATTTGCAGTTGGCTTGTGTGCTAATATCTTATTTCCCATTTTAAGTTGCAGAGAGATGTAAATGGTTTACAAATTTGAAGCTACAGTCTGATCTTTAGTTTTCTGTTGTGTTATATATTTTTTTAAATTGAACTAGTGACCTTGACTATTGAAGAGTTTGCACGTGTTAGGGGAGCTCTGCTACCTGTTCAGAAAGGGAGGTCCCTGGGCTTCTGCATCGCTGGTAGCAAACAAGTGCACATACACTCTGAGCTGCAGCACTGCAGGCGCCGCCAGCAGGCCGCCCACGGAGGCATGGTTCCTGGGGCCGTGTGGAACCTGCTGGAAAGTTCTAGGTGAGCAGACTGCCCCTCAGGACCCAAAGCCAGGCAGGGCTGCTGTGACATGGGGAAGGTAAGGGTGTGTCTTCATCAGGGGGGCACAGGCTGGCGCCGCCCTGCTGACACGTGCCCCTTTGGCTCTGGGATCCCGTCCACCGTCCTGCTGACCCTCCTTCCTTTTCCATCATCTGCACTGAGACCTGTGGCCACCTGGGCCTGGCCCTGTGGCATGTTCGCAGGCTGTTCCACCCACCTCTGGCCCCCAGACTGCTCTCCAGGCACCATGGCTGCCCAGCCAGTCGGACTCACCCGAGGCAGGCAGCAGGCAGCCCCCAGTGGAAACTAGAGGCCCTGCTCCTCACTGGCCGGCATGTTGCCCACTCCCCATGGGGAGGCAGCTGGTTGGGCTGCCCAGCTGTGAATGGAGAATTCTGCTGCGTTTGGGGGCCTCACTAGAAGTAGCTAACTTACTTTGGTTTACAGTTATTCCATCAATTCAGTTAGAATTGCATTTTCGAGGTGATTATGCAGAATCTTATGCCAGGGCATGATGCTGCACTAAGGTTTCCTTCTCTGTAACATGCCCTTTGGTTTTGCTGAGTTTTGTGTGCGTGGGTCCTGAGGGTGGTGGAAGTTAACCCTCCCCACCAGCACCTGCGCCAGCTCCACTGCGCCAGCATGAGGCTTAGAGTTCTGACCGTGCACATGAGTGGTCAGTGGCACAGGATTCCCACAAGATTGTATATACGAAGGAGAAAAATAAACATTTTTGCTTGAAAATAGTGTGAAACCACATCCTTTTCTTTCTCTTTACCCACATAGAAGCCAAGTCAGCTAGCTCCACAGGGAGGCAGCGGGCAGGCTGCATGCTGGCAGTGGGCACCGTCTGCCCAGGAGGCAAGAGTGGGTGTCGTGGGACCATCTTGTGCACACAGCACCCCACCGGTGTGCCCTGGTCCCCGGATGGCAGCCTCCGCGGGCTCCGGGCCTGGGTTGGTCTGTTCACTCTGCTTTCCACCCCTGAACTTGAGCTGCATAGAGATGTGGGCTGGGCTCCACCCCACAGACAAAGTGAGACTCACGGTCAACTAAACGATGTTCTCAGTCCCTGTCCACGTTGGCTGTTTCCAAGAAAGCTGGGTTTGCGTGGCTCTGTGAATGATGTATAAGGGGAGGTGCAGGCTCTAGGCCTTGTGAGAGGCTTTGAGGTTGGGGCCACCCAAGGGTCATGGAAGGGATTCTGCTGTACCGAAGGCACAGGGCCGTGTTGCAGGTGTGGGTTTGAGGTCTTTGTCCCAGTGGACCCCCGCCCCCCAGCCCCGTGGGGCTCAGCGTGTGTTTCTGGCCGTCTGCCCTTGATGGCCTTTTGCTCAGTAGCCTGTGCCCCTGCATTCACTCAGGCTGGGGGCCGGTGCCCCTGTTGCACCCAGCTAGGGCTGCTGCCCCGGTCTGCAGGTCCCACACTCCCACAGACATGAAGTCAGGCTTTGTGCCTGTGTTCATGGAGGGTTGGGGACCCCCAGCTACATTTGGTGCCTCATCTTAGTGCTGGCCTTGAGCAGAATCCATGGCATCTCGTGGTTGCTGTGCCCAAGGAGCCAGAGGCAGTTTTCTCCGTCAGCTCAGCTCGAGTGTGCAGGTGCTGGGAGGGCCTGTCTGGTTTGGGGCAGTTGCTCAGTGTGGTAGGTGGCCAGGGGCAGAGGCTGCCGGGTCTGTCTGCACAGGGCAGGTTGCAGTCAGGCCTTCCAGCCTCCAAGGAACGTGGGTGCTTTGGTGTCACTGCTCCACCCTCCAGGGCCTGGTATGACCATGTAGGGCCTGTAATGAGCTGTATGGTTTTGTTTTCTAGATTCTGAGAGTGAGAAGCCCACCTGAGCCAGGCAGGCTGACCTGACCCGACGCCAGGCACCGTGTCATCTCATGCAGAGAAGGCGAGTCTGCGCCTCGTGTCAGTTCACAGTTTTGTAACCACTTTCTAAGCATTTTTTTTATTCACAATTGGAAACACAAATGTAATGCAAGAATAAAAAATATTTTGGGGGAAAAAGGACTTCGGTTTTTCAAACTCTCCTTTTCAGTGGCTCCCAGACAGACAGTGGGCCCGAGATGGCAGTGAGTGGGTGAGGGTGCTGGAGGGACTCTGGGGGGCCCTTAGCCAAGGGTTTCTGGGTCCGATGATGAGCTTTTGCAGTCTGCAGGGCACTACCGTGCCTCCATCCACCGGCAGCCGGGAGAGGTGAGATGTGCGGCACGTTGCACCTCTTGGAGAAGCAGCCTAGCCCTGGATGGCTGGTGACCTGGCCCGTTTTCCAGTTGTTTTCCCCTTTGGGCCCAGGGCAACGCCCATTCTTTGCAGGGCCTTGGAGGCTGAGCAGCGGTGCCCATTTCAGGTGAGGGCCCTTGGCCTGCACGGACTCCGGCCTTTGCACACACAGCTCCATCCATTCCACTGAACCTTGGGCTCTCCTACTCCATGACACCTGAAGGTGTGTCCCCTACCCCACCCCACCCCACCCCACACACATGTGCATTGCACAGGGCATCTCAGTGATCTGAAACAGCCCTTCCTCCAGTGTACATGTACTGCCAGGGGCGTTGGCTGGGTTCTGAGACCCCTGACTACAGAGGGTGGCAGGATAGACCTGCTGGCCCTTGTGGGCTGTTCCCCATGGTGGGGTCCTGGAGCACACTGTGAAAAGTGGGAAACCTGCGAGTGGCCCCACAGGGAGACTGGGTGGAATTGCAGCCTGGCCCCTGGGACTGCTTATGTTGGGGTCAGGGCCTAGGGTGGGACTTGGGCCCCCTTGTTTCCATTGATTCCCAAGTGGCAGCTAAATGCTTCCTTGGTAATGAATGTGGGGTAGGGAGAGCAGCACCCGGGGTGTGTGACCACTGGAGCCCACAAGTGCTGCAGGTGATATTGCAGTTGTCGCAGTTGTCCCCAGGCATCATTTACGTTCCTCACAAAATGCCAGCCCCTGCGACTGACTCCTGTGCAACTGGCTGATGAAAGGTGAGTGGTGTGGGTTTCCTACCTCCCATGGTTTCCGAGGGGACTTAGGGACACTGTGGGGCTGCCCACCCCGTCTCACCAGTAGACAGGCTCAGTGTGTGCCTGGGCCTGAACCCCCGGACCTGCTGTCCTCTGTGGTGAAGCAGGTGTGGAGCCAGACATGACACTGTCCTGTTCCACTCGGTTCAGCTTGTCACCCCCAGTTTGTGACTCCTGTTACTGGGTTTCTCATTGTTTACCTTTTTGGACAGTAAATTTATTTAAATCATTCCTTTTAAGCAAGTAATAATATAGGTGCCAATGGTGAAAATTGGTAAGATAGTAATTAGTGCTAAACGGTAAGAATAGTGTAGGGGAGAGTGGTAAACACACCTGGGCAGAGGGACCCCTGTTCATAGCATACCACAGCTGGGAGCGTGCTCCCCGGCAGGCCTCAGCAGGAGCCAGTCTGCACTCCTCACGTCCTGTGACCAGCGGCACCCCCGCCCCTCTGCGCATCGGCGTGGGTCCCCGCGCGGACACGGCCCCTGGGGGCCCTGCACTGTGGTGTCCGTCAGCACAGGTGTAGGGGCAGGCCAGTGATGGGGACAGCAAGCCGCCACCCTAGGGGGGCAGTGGATCCTGCATGCCCAGCCTCCAGAGCCCCCAGGGTGAGCCCCAGTCCCTGATGGTGTTTAATCGAGGGTTTGTAAGCAGAGATTGAAGGTTAGGAGTGGGGTCACGGGGAAGCTGATCGGTTAGTTCCTGTGCAAGCCTCGCGGTTTCCCTTTGTCTGATTAGTTCGGCTGCTGATCATGCCTTGTCTGGTGCCTTCATCCCCATCGTCAGCGATCTAACCAGATTGAAGAACCTTAATTCTGCAAAATATTTCATAATTGTGCATCTTTAAGGCAAAAGGCAGGAACTTCTGTCTTGTTACCATCGCCGTTGTTGAAGGATCGTTTTGCGCCTAACTAGCTACATTTTTCTATTGCCTCAGGCAAAGTGTGCTTTTAAACATTTTTCCTGAAACTTGCTTTACAAGCGGGCCTGCAGAACATGGCTAACAGACTTTGAAATCTTTGACTATAAGTGACTAACATATTTTCCTAAGCTTTGACTATAAGTGACGACTGTAAGCTACATAACAGCCGACGCAATGGCAGCATCTAGCTAAAGCCTGTGCCTGCGTCCTTGGACTGTATGTCATACACTCTTTTTCTCTGGCTTCTTTCACGCAGCAGGATGATTTTGTGGTTCAGCCGTGCTGTTTTGTGTATGAATAGTCCATCTCTTTTATTGTTGAGTTGAATTCCATGACACAGATGAGCCACCATTTGTTCATCCCTTTACCTGCTGATGGACATCGGGCCGATTCCAGATCTTGGCTGTTACAAGTAAAACTGCTATGAACAGTCCTGTACACATCTGGTAAAAAGATTTATTTCCCAAGAGATTGGATAAATACTTAGGAGTACAGTGATGGGCCCTGTGGTAGATTATGTCTAACCTTTTAAGAAACATCTGAATTGTTTGCACATCCCCAGCAGCTGAACATGAGGATAAAGTTTTTCACACTCTCACCAAAGATTAGCAGTCAGCCTTTTTATTCTGAGCCATCCCAATGGGTGCGCAACGGTATCTCGTGGTGGTGGTTTCTTCCAAAATTACTTCTTGTTGAGGTAAAATTCACGTAATATAAAGTTAGCCGTTTTAAAGTGAAAAATTCAGTGGCATTTTGCACATTCAGAATGTGTGACCGCGGCCTCCCTCTAGCTCCTAAGCGTCATCGCCCTCAATAAGCCGCACCCACGAGACGGCCGCCCCCCGTCCTCTCCCCCAGCCCTTGGCGACAACCAGTGTTTTCTCTCCTTGTGGATTTAATTATTCTGGACATCTCCTATGAATAAAACTGTATAATATTTGGTCTTTTGTGTCTGGCTCTTTCATTAAACATAATATTTTTTAGGTTCACCCATGTAGCATTCATGGATGACTAATTCATTTCTTTTTATGGATGACTAATATTACATTGAACGGGTATATCACAATTTATTATTCATCTGTTGGTGGACATTTGGGTTGTTTCTACCCGCTGGCTATGAACATTTTGTACAAAGATTTGTTTGAGCACCTGTTTTAAATCCTTTGGGGCATCACCTAGGAGTGAGATTGCTGGGCCACGTGTTCATTCTATGTTTAAGCTTTAAGGAAATGTTAAGCCGTTTTTTTCAGTGGCTGGACCATGTCATATTTCCACCAGCAATGTGTGAGGGCTCTAATTTCAGAACATCTGTGCCAACATCTATTATTTTCTGATTTTAATCACAGCCATCCTAGTGGATGTGACGTGAAGTCGTGTTGTTTCGATTTGTGTTTCCCTATTGGCTAATTATTTTGAGAATCTTTCCACATAGCTATTTACCATCTTTATAATTTCTTTGGTGATAAGTATTCAACTTTTTTACCCATTTTCTTTTTATAATTGGTTAATAACATTATATAAACTTCAGGTGTACAATATAACGATTGGATACTTGTACCCTCTGTTGGTGCTCACCACCACAGCCGAGCCTCCTGTCACCACGTATCTGACGCCCTCACCCAATTTCTTCTGCCCCGACCCCTTTCCCATCTGGTAACCACCATTCCGTTGCCTGTTCCTGTGAGTTCGTTTCTGTTTTGTTAGTTCATTTGCTGCTTTTGTTTTATATTCCTCACAGGAGGGAAAACGTGCAAGGTTTGTGCTTTCCATTGGATTTATTTCTCTTAGCATGATACCCTCAGGATCAATCCACATTGTTACAGATGCGAGATTTCATTCACTTTAGTGACTGAGTGATATTCGTACACTTTACATATGCCCCGTCTTCACCCATTCGCTGTTGATGGACACTCAGGCTGTTTCTGTATTATGACTATTGTAAATAGCGCTGCAGTGAACATAGAGATTCACATATCTTTTGAATTCGTGTTTTCATATTCTCCAGATAAATACCCAGAAGAGGAATTGCTAGATCATCTGGTAGTTCTATTTTTTATTTTAATTTTTTTCCTTAATTTTTATTGTTTACACTATTACAGATGTCCCCATTCCCCGCCCCCCTTTGCCCACCTCTACCCAGCCCTCTGGCCACCTGCTGTCAGTCTGTGGGTGATGCCTACGTGTTCTCTAGCTAATCCTTTCGCCTTCTTTCATCTAGTCCCCCCTCCCGCCTTCCCTCTGACAGATGTCAGTCTGTTCCATGTATCCATGCCTGTTCCTATTTTGTGTGTCAGTTTATTTTGTTCACTGGATTCCACATATAAGTGAAATCATATGGTATTTGTCTTTCTCTGACTGGCTTATTTCACTTAAAATAATCTCCAGGTCCATCTATGCTGTAGCAAAAGGTAAGATTTCCTTATTTCTTACTACTACGTGGTATTCTGTGTGTAAATGTACCACTTCTGTAAATAACGCTGCTATGAACATACATAGGGGTGCATATATTCTTTTGAATTGGTGTTTTGAGATTCTTAGGCTACATCCCCAGAAGTGGGGTCACTGGGTCAAAGGGCAGCTCCATTTCTAACTTTCTGAGGACCCTCCACACTGGTTTCCACAGAGGCTGCCCCATCTGCGCTCCCACGAGCAGTGCACCAGGCTCCCCTTTCCCCACACCCTCGCCAGCACCTGTTATTGATGGAGGGCAGGCGTTTGGTCCTTTTGTGTCTTGTCATTAAGATTTGTTGAGTGAGGTGAGAGCAGCGCTCAGTTTCAGCCTGGTCGGACGAGCACCTCGCCCTGAGGCAGCGGCATCTACGGTCGCACCTCTGCCACGTCTGTGATATCCCCGCGCTCTGTGGCTTCAGCTGAGGCTCCTCACACCAATCTAAATACAAACCCAAGATCAGAATATAGACGTTTTTATTTCTTTTTTCCCCCAGCATCTATTTTACATATAAGTTATATGTAATATATATAAACACTCTTTTTTAGTCATATTTATGTGAAAGTCTATTATGACATTTAATATAGCAACACCAGCCTTTTTGTGCGTATTTTTAATTCA